ATCTCCATGTATCCATATATATTAAAATAATTTGGTTCTACTCTTAAGCAGGAAGGGAAAATCAACAACTGCCAGTTGGGAGCAAAAAAGGTAGTGAAGGAGACTCTGAGAGCAAACAAATCTTTAGGGCATGATGCTACATACCATCCTGTTCTATCCAAAATAAGATTTTATGACACAGTGATCTCTGCACAGGAAACTAAGAACATCAGTTAAAAAAATAATAATAATTTTAAAGAAATAAAAAAAGAAAAAAAAAAGAAAAAAAAAAAAGAAAAAAGGAAGATTTGAGAAAAGCTTGTCTCACTTCATAAGCTTAAAACAAACAAATGTGAATATATTTTTTTTGCCACTTCCTTTCTCTCTAAGCCGTGGGAAAATTGGAGAAAAAATTGTTCTCTTACCATTACCTTCAAATTATTTCTACAAGCATGACACTGCTTATGAGAACTAATTGACTGCTACACAGGAAATGGCATGTGCAAGTGGGAATTAATTATCTGAAAGATGTTATGGAAGAAATGAATGAGCAAAGGCAAGTTGAAAGGATCAAGAAGTAGAAATGAGTTTCTGTAAGGCATAAACATAGAATTATGCAGTAAGATGGAAGAACAAAGTAGTAGGCCTTAGGAGAGCAGAAGAGAAGGAGAAGGAGATACTTCAGAGAGAAGGAAATAAATTATTTCAGTGCTGCTAACGTATAACAATTTTTTTGTTGTTTTGGGTCTTTTTTTTATGGTGGCTCTTTTTAGTGGGTTTTTCCCACTGAATGTATGGAACACATTACAGCCCATGTGTGCTTTGCAAGCAGTTCAGTGTTTGATATTGCAAAGAGTTTTGGCATGAGTGTGCATTCTTATGATAATTGGGAAAATGTAAGCTCTACAGTATTGAAATGGTTAAACTAAGATGGAGCATACTGACATAATTGGGCTTTATTTTTTTAAGGTGCTGTTTCACTTAGCATGATTAATACTAGAGCTTAGTTAATGTAACACAATTGTCTTTGTGTAGATTTTTCTGAAGTTTTTAGTTTTTCCTTTAGTAAGATATTAGTAGACTGAGATTATATACATGCATGTGCACACACATAGACTTCATAAATGTGGCTGTTTAGCAGATGGCTATTTGCTATGGTGTGCCACATTTAGATAAAACCTGCTGTGAAAATCTCCACATTACATCTTACTCTGTGCTCAACAGCTGATGTTGAGCACACAGATAGCTACACTGAGTCACCAGTGACATGGAAAACAGGAGGCAAAGCATTAACATGAAATTATCATATATTTTCTGGAAAATGAATTAATATTTATTCATTGTGAGATAATTCACATTAATGTTTAAATGATCTTTTTTGTGTTTTTTTTTCATAGCCAGTGAAACTGGAATTGCTGTTCTGCTGTGACTTGTTTGTTGTTTTTTTCTTTTTTTCATGTAGTGATTAACCAGATGCTAAATGGTTTTAATTTCCAACATCACACATTTCAGTTCTAAGAAGAAAGCAATCCTATAATATATTAACTTTCATCAGATTTTACTAGTTCTAGAAACTGTTGCTAGAGGATATGTCTTCAAAACACATTCCTTTAAAAAGTCTGAAACCTTCTATTTAGCTGGAAATCCCTGTTCTTGTTAACAGTGCTGTATGGTCAGTGTTGAGAGCTCCCACACACAGTACAAAAGGACATGCACAGAAGTAAAGTGTTGTTCTCTAGACTGACCGAAAAGTAAGAGAGCTTTCTCTGATGAAATTTGGGATAATTGATTAATTCCATAATGCTTCTTGTAGAGCAAAATCTAAGGTTTCCCATAGGATCCTGTATTTATTTATTTTAAGAGGGAGTCCAAACGTGAGTAGCTCTCTGTGGCAGTTTTGCAGGCATTTGTGCTGTGTGGAGGTGGCTGTTTCCCTATAGATGCTCAGGTCAAGACATGACCAGGCTGAGAGAACCTATATGTAGGAGCATGGAATTCCTGTAAAATTTATTAAGGAAGCTGCTAGTTTTCAGAGGTTGAGTTATAGCAGTCAAGTTATGTTGCTCAGATTAGTGTCAATACTCCTCCACAGCACATGTAAGTTCTGAAATCAGCAAAGCTGGGTTACCACGTCTGACTGGTGACCTCTGTGTTTTGCCTTCTTCGTAGGATATTTTTTAGGCAGGAAGCAATATCTAAATGAGTTGATGCTGCCTGCTCCCTTGCAGTTCCTTATGTGTCTTATCAGCACAACGTCTCTTTTCTTGAAGTGTTCTCTGATGATTTTGTAATCCCCATACCTGTCTTATCCTATCTTCTTTCTCTCCTCTTTTTTTTTTTTTTTTTTTTTTTTTTTGTCTTTTTTTCACTAACAGCCAAAGCCATGATGGGCAGAGTAAGACTCTAAAGAATAGAGTCACTTGCTCTCATCACTTACTGATGCCGTATTTGAACAATGTTGTGTAGGTTTTAAATAAAAATTAGTAAAATCTCAGTTTTCTTCTGCTGAATTTTTAGTGCAGCTGTGGGAAGGAGGCCTTCAATTTCAGTTGACCTATTACTGGGAATTTTCTGGTAATGGCTGCAATTTGATGAATCAGCTGGTCAACTGAAATTCATGAAGAAAAGGTAAGAGATGGGAAAACTTATCAAAGTGCTTTGTCAGTCTGTGTTGATGAAATGTTGTAGCCCCTGAAGCCAGTAGTATCTTTGACTTCTCTGGAGCTAGGCTTTTGCAGCTAAAACCTTGGTGATCTGGTCTTAATTCCTTTTGTTGTTTCATTTTGTTGTAGTCAGTGTGTCAATCCTTTACGAAGAGCAAACAAAAAAATAGAACAAATTGTGCAGAACAAGAGAGCAAGTAGTGAAGAAATGCGTAGCTTGTTACCAGATTGACTTAAAGGCTTTGAGGATCATAAAAATGAGAGAAAGGTAAACTAAATTTAGAACGTTCTTTTGTTCTTTCAGTTTAGCATTATCTTACTGTTGATTTTATATAGAGTACTAGACGTATGCAATATTAAATTCCTGTTGGCTTCCCAGTCCAGTAGATTTTGTCACAAAAGCACTTTTTGTCACAAGCCACCCTCAGTTTCTGCTGTGGGATAAATAATGAATCTGCCAGAATTTGATTCCTGTCCTGGGATGCTAAATGAAGGCCCTGGTGAGGCTCTGGTAGTGCTGTCCAGAGCTGTGGGTCTCCATCTCTGCAGATGCCCAAGGCTGGGCTGTTGTGCCCTGGGCAGCCAGCACACGGTGGGGCTGGGGGACTGTGATGTCCTTTCCAACCCAAATCATTTGGTGATTCAATGAATATTGCAGTCATAGGCTTAAATCCTCTGCCATTTTTGTGTCCCTTATCCCATGTGTAAATTGGGTTACGTGGGAGAACAAAGAAGAAAAATAAGGTTTTTGCTGCTTGCAGGAAACAAGGAGACGTTTTCAATCACTGAGAAATCTTTCCAGTTCTATGGAAAGGGGTGTTTTATACTGGTATTTTCACATAGCTTCAAATCCTACCATTCTTCCTGAACGCTGAAATGCGTGTAATCTGGGCATTAAATGCTATTTACTTTGTCAAACTGCAGCATTCTAAAGGTGACAATGACATAATAACCTCACTGATGTATTTATTTATTAGACAACAAGGAAGTACTTCAGTGAGAGTATTGATATACCGAATTTGCGAAGGTGTCCCTTAATCAAGTTGTACTGACGTGTAGGTGTTCTCCTTTTTTCTTCTCTTTTGGTGCAGAGGACCATCCATGTAATATTAATGAACTCAAGCAGGAGGAAGACACCAGGATAGTGCACTAACCACGAGTATGCTCTAGAAAATGAGATGATTTGTTTTAGCATCAAAGTAATACACTGTTGTCAGCCCTTATTAATTCTATTGATTTTGCATTATAAATTGTTCATTTCTGTTTCTCTGCACTCATTCCATATCTCCTTTATGGGGGAAAAAAAAAAAAGGTAATGCTGAAAGGGAAAATCTGCTCATTCCAGCTCCTGAATGCTAAAACCACTTCAGGTACTGATAAAGCATCTTCACAGTTCAGAAAGAGGTCAGCCTTAGAGTGCTATCTGGATTAAGAAGTGATAAAAGAGATGGTTGACATTAATTACATTGGTGCTGAGTGGCAAGCTTACTGATTTTGGGGAGTGGACCACTGTAGCACAGCAGTGCTATTCCTACTGAGACGACAAGTAATTCTTTATCTGGCTGCAGAGGGTTTAGGAAATGTATTGTTGGGCAGTTCCTTGAAAGACATGGCAAAGAACTTCAGGAAACTAGTATCATCTCTTCTGCTGTTGTTTCTGTTCATGGTTTATCACTGCACCATAGAACTTCCTTAGATCTTGAGGAGACCTGTCACCCAGGGCAGGTGATGCCAAAATGTAGTTTCTTTCAGTTTCCCTGAAGAGTAACACAAAATAAGAAATGAATGTGTAATAGTTTTGAACTATTGTAAAGTAAAAATAGGCACTTAAAAAAAAAAAAGTCAGTAGAAATCAGTTTCCCAATAGTAAAGCAACCAGTGGCCCTTTTTCCTTGTGTCTGTGAAATAAGTTTAGTAGAATTTTCAAGAATAATGGTAAATGAATCTTTACCCGTAACCTGAAAAATAAAGACAATAGCTTTTGTCAGAATAGTGATATTTTGAACTGTGTACTCATGGGATTACCCAGTTCATACATTTTTCTTAGTTTTCCTAGTTCTAAAAATGACATTTCTTAAAGCCCAAGTGTAATAGAGTTGAGGTACACATACAGGCAGTCTCATGAAATTGACAGAGCATTTAGTCATCACAAAAAATTAGCATATGCAGAAGTTTTAAAACTTGATATGGCAATCATTGCCCATAGCACTGTATTAGAGATGGTTGGGATATAGTTTTGTAAGAAAAAGAGCTGCAATATTTTTGATGTTGAGCAGCAGAATGATGGAGACTGAATAGTGTTCAGTTTGCCTTCCAACTCTGATCTGTTTACTGCTTCTTGATGTTATTTTTTTATGAGTTCTGAAATATGTCTGCAAACATTTTGACAAACATAGAAACAATTTCCTGCTTCTTGGATTTAGGGGCACTGTTGCAACTGAAATTTGCATGCAACAAACACATACATCCTCTTGGGTGAAGGTAATTATAAGAGAGAGCTGTGCTCCCAAGTAAGTTTGACTTGGTATTTCATGATTTTGATTTGAAGGGTGATAAATTCTTTTGTTTACATGTCACTGACAGCACAAATGGTTTCAGTGTCACAGAACATTCTGACAAATGGACACATACTGATAAAACAACTGTATTTAACTGAAAGCATTCAGTGCATCTGCAGTAAATGTATCCTGCAGAATAAAATGAACATAAAATATATGCACTATAAGAGTAGGATATGAGATAGAAAAGACTCAGGAATGCTTATATTCCCTGTTGGAGTGTTACTTAAGAGCACCGCTTGTGGAATTGGGTCCTGCTCTGAAAGCTGGATGCTGACAAGTCCATGGGGCCAAATGGATTGCACCCTAGAGCACTGAGGGAGGTGGCGGATGTGGTTGCGGTTAGGAAGAGTGGCTGGAAGGCTGCCTGATGGAAAGGGACCTTGGTGTGCTGATGGGCAGTGGGCTGAAGATGAGCCAGCAGTGTGCCCAGGTGGCCAAGAAGGCCAATGGCATCCTGGCTTGGATCAGGAATGCTGTGGTGAGCAGGACCAGGGAAGTCATCCTGCCCTGTGCTCGGCACTGGTGAGGCCTCACCTCCAGTGCTATGCTCAGTTTTGGGCAGCTCAGTACAGAAAGGACATGGAGGTGCTGGAGCAGATCCAGAGAAGGGCTTGGAGAATATGGCCTATGAGGAGAGACTGAAGGAACTGGGGCTGTTCAGTCTGGGGAAAAGGAGGCTGAGGGGAGACCTGATTGCTCTCCTCCAATATCTGAAAGGTGCTTACAGCAGAGCGGGGTTGATCTCTTCTCACTGGTGACAGGATGAGGGGAAAAGGCCTCAAGTTGTGCCACGATAAGTTTAGGTTGGATACCAGGACAAACTTCTTTACAGAAAGGGTTGTTAAGCACTGCAGTGGGCTGCCCAGGGAGGTGGTTGAGTCATATCCCCGGATGTGTTTAAAAACCTTCTGGATGTGGTGCTCATGGACATGATTTAGCAGAGGGCTGTTAGAGTTAGGGTAGTGTGGTTAGGGTGTGGTTGGACTCGGTGATGTTTAAGGTCTTTTCCAACCTGAGCGGTTCTATAATTCTATATTATGTATATATTATTCTACAGAATCAGATTCTATGATTCTAAAAGAATATGGAATCATAGAATTCTATCATTCTATATTCTCTTATTCTATATTATTCTATAGAATCATATTCTGTGACTTTATGATTCTAGTAGAATGGGGAATCACAGAATTGCTCAGGTTGGAAAAGACATTAAAGATCATGAAGTCCAACCACAACCTTGTCAGGATTATCACCTGAAGGTCACTTCAGAAATACTCATTTACAGGCCAGCTGCACTGACATCATCACATACAAGTGGATGTTTTCATCACCTTCAGGATTTCAGAATTTAAAATTTCTGAATAATCAGTTTGATAATGATTTTATCATTTCTGTTTTTTAGTCCTGGACTCCGGTGTACCACAGGATAATTTCAATATGGAGTTTGACCCAGATCCACCTGTAAGACATCTTTTCCCATCTGCTGATCTATTTCTTGTGTATCAAGCTGCACATTGCTGAACCAAGCTTGTCTTTCCTGTCTTTTTCTCCAAAGAACTGGATTAGGGCCAATTTGACCAGAAGGCACAAGTGTTCTTAAATGGGATGCCTTTGTTGTTGGTGAAAGAAACAACTCAGTACTAGGTGCCGTTTCCAAATCTGCCAGAGTGTTCCCTCCAGCCCCCAAGACTGTACTAAAATCCAGGACCACAAGATGGTGCTGCAGGAAAACATTTTTCCCTCAGTGGTTTTGGTTTCTGGAGAACTTTATTAGATTTCTGCTTTTTACAGTGTGGTTCATCAAGTCACAAGAAGGCAGATAGCGTACGATAGAGCAATGGTCATTCTGTAAAAAAAAAAGACAACATAATACTGCATATAATGACAAGGCTTTAGAAGACTTACAAGAGATATAAACCATTGCCTGTGGCTTTAGAACTGCTTTCGCTCCTAGTGAACTGATACAGAATGAAACAAAAGAGCTCTCAGTGGAACTTCCATCCTTATGTTCCCAAAGATTAAATAAATACAAAGCTTAACAACCTGACTCAGTGCACAGTATCTGTGTCCAAGAGTGGATGCTGACACCATAGGGATAGGAGCTATGAGAAGTCCTCTGCTCTTTTAGTGCAGCACCCAGAGCCTGCACCAGGCCTGTTGACAAAACTGTGGCACGATTCTGGTACTTCTCACCATGTGATTTTCAAAAACGTTTCAAAGCCGTGAGGGTCGAACTTGCAATACTATGGCGTGAAAAGTGTTAACTGCAAAGCTCAAGCATCAAAAGCCAAATACAACACTGTATTTAAGCAAAATCTTTGTGGTTAGGCAAATTGTTTCATGTTTCTGAGGCCTGAGGTTCAATTCTGTGACCAATTTCACATATCTGAGATTCTACAATGCCAGGGAGTGTACATGTAGCAGATGAATTATTTCATTGCTTGTATCTTTCCTGCTTCTCTCCATGCAAAGAGTGTGATATTTAATGTTACGAGTCTTCTGATCCTTTGCAGACCTAGGCTTGGATTGCATACCAAAAATTAAGTGCAAAGGTCTCCCTGGAAAGTGTTTCATGTTCTCCTGGAGGTCCAGTGGAGTGAGTGGTTCCACAGAGTTCTGTTTAGCTACTGATCTTTCTGCTCCCATTTTTTGTTTTCACAAAACACTGGAAAATTAAAAAATGGTTTCAGCCAGATCAAAGTGAAAAACTGTCCACAGCTGTGATACTCTAAGTTTCATCACACTTCTTTCAAGTCCTTTCTCAAAAGGCATGGTTTCTACTGCAGTGCTTCCTTCCAGAAGCTGCTATCCTACATCTATCTTCTGTCCAAGCTGTTAAATTTCTGAGCCTGTGTGTTCTATGCTGTGTAACAGGTTCACTCTGCAAAAGCCATTTCTTTGCTGCATCAACCGCTGTCAGTGTTCTGGCAGCTTTGCAAGCATGATGGTGTCAGGTGCAATGTAGACAATGTGGGGAAAGTGATGGCAGTTCTACAGAGAGCTGCCTTTCCAAAGAGAACATGGCTGTAAATGTTATAGCCATGCACCCTATCTCTTTGATTTTTCAAATATCTGATATTTGGCTCTATAAAGATAGAACAGATCATTATTCTATGTAGATTGCTCCAAAAGTAGTGTATTCTATTTGTTTCCTTAAGAACTGCAACAGACACAGAGCACACAAAACACTGTTTGATAGAGAACACCCTCAGCTACAAGACACTACATTGCACCAGCAAAGACCTGCATGCTGTGCTTACAGAAATCTTCACCAGTGGAAGTGCCCCATTGTTGTTGCCATTACTGAAAGGCACCACTTACCCCTTGCTGCGCTCACACTCTCTGTTTGCTTTCCATAAACATCCAGCAAGAAACAAGTGTCTATGGGTGGCATTTTTTCCTCATGCAGGAATTCAGTTCTGCTCTTTTGCTTCATACATGCTTTCACGACAGACACCTTTCTGTCAGACTGCTGCTATCTCTCACAGAAGCAACAAAATGTAACGGAATAATGGAAGGAAGGTTCAGCCTCTACTGCCATACCACCACCATCTGCCTCTGATGTTGTGGGCCAACATCATAAAATAAAGGCATTACTTCTGGAGGAGCCCTCATCCCTAGCATGCACATTATCAGTTGGGCTGAAGTGAAACTGTTAAACTAATTCTCCTTTAGAAAAGTTTTCTGGCCTGTCATTTAGCACTGCCCTCTTGCCGAAGTCCTCTTTGAGATACTTATAGACACTCCAAGCTTTTACTGTTTTCTTTTTTAAGGCACTTGATCTAAAAGTGTCATGGAGGAACTAAACCAAGCAAAAGAACAGATACCATCCTGTGCCTAGGCCTTATTGCACAGCTAGGAAGGGAAGCTTTTGCATACTTTTCCTGTTAGGAGAGCCTGTCTCCTAAGCAGAGCGCCAGGCAGCATTACTGAAAGGCAGTGTCTTCAATCAAACATGGCCCTATGAACTGCAGTAACTGAGCATATTAAGGGATTGCAATTAATTATGTGATGCATCTTTTTGCATCTTTCTCAAGCAGTGACAAGAAAAATGTAATTCCCATTCCTAAGATTGAGTGCTCCATGCATTGTCAGCTGATATTTTGGGTTTTCAAGTTGTATTTCACAGATGCCAAACCGGTAGCTTTAGAGAATGACAGCTTAACTTCAAGAGAAGGATCTCTTATCAAAGATGGGTCCGTATGAACAACTGTCAAAAGCAAGGAAACCTGAGAGCCTGGAGAAATGCCGTTACTGGGCTGGTGCTGACCAGTTATCTTGATGACACAGTCGGTGACAGATTTAGCTCATGAACAGTGGATAAGCATGGAAAATGACTGTGTTGGCTCCCTCATTCGCAACAGTCCTCAAAGGCTATAAAATCACTGTGGCTAGATTGTGAAACATCTGAGCCGGGGACACGTCAAATAAAGATCTGCAGTGCCTCTGTAAGGGAAGAGAAGAAAGATCATAGGGAAATAATTGTTAAAAATTATATGGGACATTTTATCATAGTGCACCAGAATCTCATTCCTGTTTTTCTTTTAAAATCTATTTTTGTTACTGTGGTCAAATATAAAAGTCCATCACATCAGGTGCTGCAAACATGAATCATCTTTTTATCAATAGTTTCACTAAATAAAAACAAACAAACAAACAAAAAACAAAAAACAAAACACCAGTGTAGCTGCAATTAATCATAACTCTTCAACGCTACTAGCTAGAAAGAAAAAGGTTAACAGCACATTCTGTTATAGTGGTTAAAGATGCTTCTACAACAGCATTTGCTCACATGGTTGTTTTACACATGTGGTGGCATCATCCAGTTTAATTCCTGCTGTGTTTCTTTGCCAACAACTGCTAGTGAACATTTGCCCACCTTCCCTGCTGCTGAGTAGTATCAGGATTAGATGCAGGGAGGCGAGCAGGCTTACAACTTCATCTGTTGGCACCACAGGAATGCAGGAGCAGAACAGCATGGCAGTTGAGAAAACTTTCAAAATCATCAGTTTTAAGGTCTTGCCTTGAAATGACTATTTCCTGGTGGGGGAAGGTTATCTCCCCAAGCTGTGCCCTCCTGCCCCTTCAAAAAAAGGATGGGAGTGGGTGGGAGGGACTGGAGGGACAATAAGAATATCTTTCCCAAATAAAACTGTGATGGATGTTTATTCTTTGTCTGCTCTAGCTGGAAGGTACATCTGCAAAACTGCTGGGAAGTAGGTTTTTACATAGGAGTACCTGTCAGGAAAACACTGGTCCTATCTGGCTCTGCTGGCAATAAAAATTTTAGGGGCTTTAATACATTTTAGACTTGAAGATGGTGGCTAGCTCACAGCAACAGGCATTTCCTCCCCTCACCAGAGGAAGCCACTTTTCCCTCGGTACTTAGCAAAAGTCTAAAAAAGGTCTAAAAAAGGAATGACATGATTACAGAGAATCGTGTTTTGAGGAAAAAGTGGTAGAGACATAGAGCTGTATTTTCTGGGCATTTGTACTAGCTTTTGCCTGCACTTAAGAATAGCTGAAATTTACTTTCTGAACCCCATGCATTTCTTATATATGAGATATACCATTTTAAGTGATTTTGTAAAATCACTTGTCTGCACATATAGTACAGCTGAAAAAAAAAAGTGCCAAAGAGCCACAACACAGGAAAAGGAAACTTTTGTTTGTGTTCTTCCCATTGAGTTACTGAGATGTAAACTGTGTGCTTGTTGCATCCAAACATGTTGCTACAATGGATGATGCCCTTGTTCGTAGCAGAGCTTTCTCAGAGGCATGCAAGGTGAGGCTGGATGGGGCTTTGAGCAACCTGGTCTAGCCAGAGATGTCCCTGCCTATAGCAGGGCCGTTGAAATTAGATGATCTTAAAGATCTTTTCCAACCCAAACTATTCTATAATATGGTTCACTATCAGAAGTCAGTTGAGCAAAGAAGGGAAAGTAGCAAGCAGCCACTGCAGCCTTTTAGCTACAAGCATAGCCTTAATGGCTCCTTATAGTTTTTTAAACTAGCTGAGTACAGAGTTAAACAGAATAATAGTCTATCTCTCATCCTTTTGTTTTCTCATTGTTGGTCCTCTGTAAACACACGGTAAGTGTCTCCATTGTTAACTTTGATTTTTACTCCCCTGTGATCCATCAGCAATGCCTCTTCTTAGTTCATTTAATGCTACACTTTCATGCTCAGACAGTGCTCAGCTATGACACCAAGCAATCAACTTAGATTGTCCACTGACAACTAAGAACTAATCAAGGTTTGTTCACATGAAGATGGATTTGGACAAACTAGGCTGACACCTCCAAAGCAGCCATCATGGTCTGTAGTGGCAGTGGTGCACATTAACAGGCTCGAGACCACATATTCATGCATTAGACCTAGTAGTTTTAAACGAGCTGTTAATATCTATCAAATAATACCTACTGTTAAGTATGCAAAGATACGTCCAAAGGAATTGTTGTGATCTACAGCAACAACTGTATTCCTCTTTTACTTCAACAAACTTTTTTTTCTTTAATCAATTGCTTTTCTACTTGATTACACTGTCAATAAAGAAGCACACAGACAATATTGAATGACACACTCAGAATTTGTGAAGCCTGCACAGAGCACCAAGGTAAGTTGAATGCGTCATCTGCAGCTCATCTTTACAGGTAATAGTAGTTACAGAATGAACCTCACATATATACTACTATTTGGAACAGCGACAAGAGGTATAAAAAGCAGCTGAGGTTTTCTTGTTTTTGCATGTATCTTTACCATTCAGAGGAATGTTTGGTTTTACAGTACTGCAGTCTCCAAGTGGGCTGATGTTCAAATCTTAGTACTAGCTTGGTGAGTAGAATAGCTAGCTATACTAACAACTGCTACAGCTGTCTTCCTGATTCAACACTACTTGTCTTTTAGAGTTCAGCTAGTGCCACCTGGAACACTCATAAAAAGACCAGAATTAAGATTTTATGAAACATTATGGAAGTTCTGGATAACACTTTAATTTCTAAGATGCTCACTGCATACAGATCCAGGTGAAGTAGATGAACTGATGATTAGGCCACTGAGCCTGAGTGAAAGGAAGTTAGAGAACAAGACACGAGAGCAGAAACAGCCTGGGATGTTCAGAGTTAATGAGGACAGCAAGTACCACAAGATGATGGTCAGGGTAAGTTGAACAAAATAAATTGATCTAGGGAGTTGGCAGCAGTGTGTTCTTCTGTATCTACTAAAATTTGGTATCTCCTTTTTTAGAGCCTGTAGGAGTGGATGAAGAGTGTA